ACAAATGAAGGTGGGAAGAACTGTTGTTGATTAAATTAATAAACAGGATTATGTTTATCATGCATGCACTCAAAACTCTTGCAAAGGAAGCGTGTGGAGACCACCATTGTTCTTGATCAGCCAGCCCAGCCATAGCCAATCCTCAACTGATCAGCATCAACAATTTGAACTAATGGTCCAACAAGGATGATTAAGACTTATTTCGGATCAGTGCAAAACACATCCCCCAATTGGCCGATTAGCTAGGGTTGACTTTCTAAACCTCATAATTAAGCTCCAGATTGATAACATAGTTTATAATTATATACATATATTATATGGAATGGACTTGGTTTCGAGGAAACCTATGTTTAGGAACTAGCCAATGGCAGCAGAACACAGCTTGCTGCATTCTGCATCACTCGCCATTGTTAAATAATAGGAGCGGTGTGAGTAATGATGTAGGTACGATTGTCTTTAGCATACGTGTGCAACCTACATTGTGTTAGACATTGCTTGCACCAAAGTTTTGGAGAAGGATATTGTTGATAATTTGGGAAGTAATTAGCTAAATGTAAATTATTGTTAATCGTACGCATTAGGTTGAGAATTTGGCTTAATATATACCATCGTTTTCCACTGCGAGGACTCAGTTAATTGTATATGTAAAACTTTTTCATGCACTCACCACTCATGAGTATTATATTGATGAAAAATGCTAAAGATGAGACTCTTCATGAATTATCTGCCACATCATATTATACAGAAGCATATGCTATCATTTATCAACCAAAAAAAAAAAAAACTTGTTTATCTCACATCTATAGCATATAACAACAACTTAACCTCTCCTAAAAATCAATTAATTTGATCAACGCATGGTTATTATTCAACCGTCACTAGTTTTCATGATTTGAACTATGTAAACAAGAATATAAAATATTGTGCATGTCTATATGTAGTGACATGAGAAATTCTAGCAAAAACCATTCGTTCACACGTAATTGTGAGCTATTTATGTGCATGTCATCTATTTCAAATTCTATTTATGTGCATGTCATCGATTCCTCATAAGAATTTGATAGCCATGTTGCTGAAGACTTTATCTTCTTCCCTATTGGTGCATGTAGCTTCAAAGAGTTATGGGTTTTTACCTACATGATTGGAAAAGGATCCGGCGGATCCTTTTCCTGGGGATCCTAGGGATCCCACAATCATGATCGTTCATTGTACATCGTGTGGTTAGTTTTGTTTAGGTACTATTTAAATTTAATTTTAAATTTTAAAATGATTTTTGACCCTACGATATACGATGAGCGATCACGATCGCGGGATCCCTAGGATCCACAAGAAAAGGATCCGGCGAGGATCCTTTTCCTACATGATTTTTATTATTTTTGCCTATCCAAACTTCCATTGGAGAGAAGCAATGATACTCTCTATATAAAGGAATCTTTCCGCTACATTTTTCTCACCTCATTTTCTTGTTTGATATCCGTGTAAAAAATAAAGAGAGAGAGTTCCACGTCAATCTCTAGCAAAATCTCTCTCATTTTGTCTATTTATAACAATAGTGCCATGGTTAAATAACTTGTATTTATACATAAGGGCATATATATGTGATTTGTTTGTATGCCAAAGAAGGAATTGAATCACATATCTGGAAGAGTCCATATCACTTGTGAATGTGATACACACTACATGTATATAAACGTGGTTTTTGCCTAGAACTACAGAAATATCGTCAACCCAATTACTCCACGACATGCGCATGCAGTGCATGCCTAATGCCTTACTTTCGGTAAACTGTATTATTGATGTACGTGGTCAAAGAAAAAGACGGGTATTTTTGTTTGTCCCTGAATCATTAATGGTGGTTTTGAGAAGAAGAAGAAGAAGAAGAAGAAGAGGAGATCTTATATTTCTCGACATTCTCTCTCTCTCTCTCTCTCTCTCTCTCTCTCTCTACTGCTTTCTAGATACAGAGAGATGGCTGAAAGCAACCACAATGCATGCTCGAATGAACGCCACGTTTCATTCCCAACTTCTTTCTTTTTCTTTAGGTCAAACTTCATTCCGAGCTTCGACAGTAAAGCTTCTTTTGGTTTTGGTTTTGGTTATGCTTATGTATATATGCACGTGTCTAATAAGCTGGATAATTTTTTTTTGTTTTTAAGCCATGTTTTGGTGGGATTTCCGAATCTCAAGAGATTGAGTTCAAGTTAGTAAGGAATGTATTACAAGTTGTTACTTAGAAGAGATCGAAAATGTAGTTCACGAGCATTAGAAAAATATGTGAGATAAATTTACAAATTCTTGCTTAGAATTAGTAGCCATTCACAAATTCTTCTTACATGTCTTTCTCTTGTACTACAAGTTATATGTAGCCTTATATATATATATATATAGCCTCCTAAAAGAAGATCACAACAACAAATTAAATTCCAAAATATATATCTTTAGGGGTCGTGTAACGGATATTTTTTGTTGACTTTCTTTTTGGACGGAACATGTATGTGGCACTTCCTTGTTCATTAAATTGGCTGCACAAAATATCTTGGAGGAAACATGATACATAAAAAGATGAACGCCTTTGTTTAGTGGACTTGGGACAAAAATTCATGGAAAAAAAGAGAGAAAATAATGATTAGAGAGCAAGAGTGGACCACCGACTGGTGCCGATTCTCACCGACCCTCAGAGGAAACCGTTTTATAGTTGTTGACTTGCGGAAAGACAAGCGGGATCTCACAATTTTATTTTCTCATGCTTCCACCGAAAGTGAGAGAGACAGAGACCCCCCCAAACGTGGACTCGTGGATCACCTGTAGTTGTATTCTCCCTAATAAAAATGCTTACTTTCTTTAGCAATCTAACGTGAAATTTTTATTAGTAGAGCAAAAAAGATACATTTAATCAGGAAAACATAAATTTAACCCCTCATAATACAAGAAAAAGGATAAAAAAATTTATATGAAAAAGAAGGGGACATAAACTTTACCTTCTAAACAAAAATAAGAAAGATACAAGAAAAAGAGAGGGGATATGAAACCTAACTTCTCTGAAGCCGACCCTAAAGGTCTAAAAATATTTGAAAAATTCTCTCTTAAAGTGGGTCTCTCAGTCACTCACATTTTCACATTAGTTTTTGTACCAACATTATAAAATATTGTGCAAAAAAAAGAAAAACATGAGAGGGCAAATAGTCTAATTTTCGAGAAAGTCTCCTTTCATTTCTCAAAATATTTTAGCATTCCACCATATTTTTGAGTTCAATTCACTTCTCTTCCTATATGTATAAGAAACAAAGAAAAATATCGTCTTACTGCAAATTGTTTGTTTGTTTTTTTTGAACCCATACACTAAAGGGATAAGAGAGTGAGCTAATTATAATAATGCAGTTCAAATTCGTATTTGGTGAAAATCGAACCTAAGACTTACAACTTACAAATAAAAAAGAATATCACTAGACTGTAGTACTAAATGACTATCGTAAATTGTATTAGATTTTAATTATGCACGTGCACCGTGTAACAAAAATTATTCCTCATTGTATCTAGACACCTAAACTGGTGAATTTTTATAGAAAGTTTAAAGGTAAGAGCTTCTGTGACAATTGGATTAAATTAAAGGTGACAATTTCGTGTAACTTAACATGGATAGTTCAATCATTGTGCACTGACAAAAATAAAATAAAAAATTGATCATTTTGCTAACAATGGATCAGGTTAATAAATTAGATAATCACATTGGTAGTAGGCGGATTTTAGAATAGTTTATACATTTATGACGGTGGTAGGGTAAAGACTGAAAAGAATTCAACAAAAACAAAAACAGTGGGATTGATTGATCGTTCACTGCACAAGAGATTTTTTAGTGTACTGAAATATGATTTTGTATTTTAAGTATTATAATATAATTAGTTAAATATTTGAATAATTTTCTTTTTTTTACCAATTGAATTATTATATTTCATGTAACGGACAGTGTCACATAAAAATTTTTCTCTTTTTGTGCATAATTAACAGTGGCCTTGATTGGTTTAGTGCTGAGGCTGACTTTCCTGTATTGGATTTGTTCCATGAATTAAATGGTGATTAACTTTTCTATCAATAAAAAATATAGACAAAAAACATATATAAATAGAAAACTATTGAGTTCTTAATTGTACTTGGATAAATCAAGCAGGAAGGTCGGCTGGGGTTGGAATTTTGGTGACGCATCATTGTTCGAAATAGCTGCATGTTTGACCGTCTCTGCCAGCCCAAAAATTTGTTGTGAATACTTCCCAGTAACTATTGCGACCCATTCGTTTTATGGTTGAATAATTATCTTCTATATGAGTTAGCCAAAGTAGCATTATTGTTGTTTTTTTTATTGGGAATGCAAGAACGAATTCGTTATTTATAATATTTGGATTAGAAAAGAATATCATTAAACTGTATTATTACACTCAAAGCAACATTATACATTTGTCGTAATCCTAAACCTCTCATGTGTTGAGATTTTCAAATTGTGTTCTAACTTATTGGATGTATTTTAGCAGTATTTGTGCCCAAACAAATTGGCGAGATAACAAATCATTCATGTAAGTAATATTTTTGCTCATTACGTTCAAGCGATGGTAATTTTTACCGTCCTATTTATTATCGTCGAATGAGTTTAAAATTTAAAATGTCTAAAAAGTTTGCTTCTGCTGACGTCCAGCGACCAATGAGTACATGCCACGTAGGAGATAAGTTTGAATTTATTGAAACGCAAGACAATAGAAGAAGAGAGGAGTTAAATGGAAAATGGAAGTGCAAAATCGGAAAGTTTCTGAAACAAAATATTGTATTAGGTTAAATTAATGCAGAGAAAAACAGATGCAGACACGTGGCTTCCGTTGGTGGAAGGGGGAGAAATTGGAGTGGAAGCAAGGAAACCAAGAAAAACCAATCCGTGTGGGTCCCAATCTAAAGCCAACCAATCCCGAGCCTTGTACAAATTCTGTCTCTCTTTCCTCAAAAGGTCTCGTTTCAAATCTTTTTCTGCTCTCTTATAAACCCTCCTTCCTCCTCCGCTTCTCATCACAAAAATCCTCTGGTCTCGCTCCCCCAGCTTCTTCGTCTTCTGCCACCCAACAATTTCATCCGCAACCACTCGGATATTCGTTACTTGCCGTCACCTGCTCGCTCTCTTTGTTGAATTCAAGCTACTACATTCAGGGAATTGAGATGGGTTCCTCAAGAATTTCCGCTTTTGGCATCCGATTCTGTTTTTTGTTCGATCGGATCAGCTGTTAAAATCGAAACCCAGATTCCAAAATCCAGCCTTTGTTCTTTTTTTTTAAATTCTTAGACCAAAATTCCATCTGGGTACTTGAATTTTCTTTTCTTTTGTTTATCTGGTTTGATTTTTGGAATCATCGGATTCGATTTTTTTTTCCTTTTTCTTGCGTGACGCATCTCAATTTGTCTTGAATCTCCTTTCGGCTTTCGGAATTTGTTTGAGAGTATCAAAGAGAAAGCGAGCAGGTAAAGCAAGCAACAATGGCTGCAGCAAAAAAGAGTGGTAAATCCAGGATGGAAACAAGCGTAGATTGGGAGGCTAACAAAGATGGGGAGCTTGATTTTTCCTTCGAGAGGCCGCCATGGAAGCCCGGTTTTAGTGAGGCTTCCCTGGCGTCGAATAGGCCTCTCAAGAAAGTCAAGAGCCCTGAAAGGCAAGACCCAATTCAATCTTCAGCTTCTTTAGCTCATCAAACACCATCGCCAATCATCGCTCCCTATCCATCTTCCTCTTCAAAAATAGTTTTTCCGTTTTCTTTCGACGGGTCTCAACAGCCTATGATGCAATTCCCCCACCAATTCAACCCCACAAATGTGCCTATATTGCCCTCACCAATTCAACAGCAACAGCAACAAAATCCGCAGCAAATGATATCATTTGAATCCCAGCAGCTGCAGCAGCAGCAGCAGCAGATGAGTTATCCGCCCCCAGCGACGTTGAGTTGGCAGCAGCACCAGCAAATTCTTCAGTATTGGAGTGATGCTTTGAATTTGAGTCCAAGAGGGAGGGCGATGATGATGAACAGATTGGGACCAGATGGAAGGCCAATGTTTCGAGCGCCGGCAATGCCTTATAATACCACAAAACTTTACAGGGGAGTGAGGCAACGGCATTGGGGCAAATGGGTAGCTGAAATTCGCCTTCCTCGAAACAGGACTCGCCTCTGGCTTGGCACCTTTGACACAGCTGAGGATGCCGCCATGGCTTACGACCGCGAGGCCTTCAAATTGAGAGGAGAGAATGCCAGGCTCAATTTCCCTGAGCTTTTTCTCAACAAAGACAAATCAGATGTTCCAACTTCATCAGCTCCAAGTTCAGCAGCTACTTCGCCTCCAACCCATGAGAGTTCAAAGCCAACCAGGCGCCGCAAGCAACCTCAAAAAGTCAAGACAAGCGCTTCCAATATGGAGGCAATGCCGCCACCACCAGTTCCACATACCCAAGAAGAGAATAGCACTGACAATGATTCGGGACTGGAGTCGAGTGAGGCTAAAGCGATTGACGAAATTGAGGCAAGTACGGATTGCGCAGGAGGAGAAGGGAATTCACAGCAAGAAGAAATTGTTTGGGGGGACATGGCAGAAGCTTGGCTTAATGCAATTCCTGCAGGTTGGGGTCCAGGTAGTCCTGTGTGGGATGATTTGGACGCCAACAACAATCTTTTGCTGCAATCACATCTCCCTTTTACCAATCCAAACCAACAGGACTATAACACTAACATTTGTCCTCAACAAGTTCTCCATAATTCGGGTTCGGGTTCCTCTTCTTCCTCTTCATATCCCGTGAAGAACTTCTTTTGGGAGGACCAAGATTGAAAAGTTCATTGCTTTTAAATTTGAGCTTTGCACTTCAAACTCACACGGTCACACTTCTAGGTTGTAGAACTAGTACCAGCCCATTTCCCTCATCCTTTCTCACTCGTTCCATTTTCCGGAACCCGGTCAGGAGTTGCATTTCAAACTCCTCCCTTTTTATGCTTCTCAGACATCAGTTTAGTTATCACACACACCACCACCCCCTCCTCTCCCTCCCCCTCCTCCTCTCCCTCCTCTCCCTCCTCTCCCTCCCCCCTCTCTAACTTGTCATCACAGCCGGTTGCAATGTTTGGGAAAACAACCTATGATCCTAGAAGCATTGTGAGTTTTTATTACAAGGGATCCTTGAAGCTTCAAATTTCAGGCCAATCTGCTGCACAAAGGCTGCTTGTTTTTTCAGGCCTTTCAGCAGTGACACAATCTGGTTCATGCTTTTTGTTGGGCCATGCCTTGGGTTTTGTTGCCAGAAAGTGAATTATAGTCAATGTCTTGTAAAGTAAATAATGGTATGTGTAGTTAGGAAGAGTCACTGCTGTGTAGTGTTCACGAGCATGTTTTTAGTTTTCAGTTTTTATCTTAAGGCAGGACCCGCTGTAGAGGGAGACGGTTTTGTGATCTCCTTCTCAAGCGGTCCGGCCATCACGAGCTCTCGTTTTTCAGCTCCTGCAATGGAAAAGCCAAATTATAAATATTATGTATTCGTAGCTGTGTTTGTACAAAGACCAGTACTCTCTTTTATGCGTTATGATTGTGTGTGAGCCTTCAGTTTCTTTTCTACTGCTTATTCATGATTTTCCTCAAAAAAATAAAATAAAGGAGTAAAATTAAGACCATGAATGATAGGTTCGTAGAGTAAATACGAGAGCTGATTAACTTTGTGAATTAGGACATTGATGGTTCTTGCGATAGTTTAGGGCGTTTCATACTCATCTCATTTTTAGTTTTCAATTTTCATTTTTTGAAAAATGAAATTAAAAGTAATTACCAAACAAAATTTCAATTTTCAGATTTCAAATAAGCTGAAGCTAAAACTAAAAATAAAAAATGAAATGAAATGATTATCAAACGGCTTCCTATTAATTTATCTTCTATCAATACTAGTTTAAAATTTTATATGTATAGTACGACATAAAATTCGGTTGATGATACTATTTATAATGTATGATTTTCTTCTTCTCCGAATAACTAATGGCATTGTGGGCAGTTACTCATTGAGACGGAGTAGGCTTCTCTTGTTTTTTTTTTTTTTTTTTTTTCTCCTTTCATCTTATTTGAACAGTCACAATTAAATCATGTTAATATATTATGTTCATTTTTTTTTATAGAAAGAAAGACAAGATGTAAAGTTTGAGAAGAAAGGATAAAAAGAAAGGAGAATAGGAAGAGAAAAAGAAGGAAGAAAGACAAAATGTAAAGTTTAAATCACATCAATATCTTACGATTTTCTCACCGTAGTTTGAAAAAATTTCAACAGTAGACCATATTTTTTTGAATTAGTTGCTGGACAAGACGGGATGACACTACGTTGCAGAGTCCTTTTTCTACCCAAAACAAACAACTACTTTTGGCGTTTCTCCTCCATTTCTAAGCACAATAGAGTTCAGGTTCTCTTTGTAAGGATTCCGAGGATTCATGAATCATGTCTGTTTATCGTATATCGTGCGATCAGAAATCATTTTAAATATTTTTATTTAAAAATAAATATAAACAGTACTTGATAAAAATTGATCACACGGTGAATATGAATAAAAAGGCCAAATCAGCAGCTGCACGACGGCCATCCAATCATCATTACAACTCATTTAGTTCTCATATATTTGTAACTTTCCGCTTTTAGCTTTTAGCTATTGAAATTTTAATATGTCCTAGAATGTCCTAGATACTGATGACTTTTTAGTGATTTGTAATTCGAATGACAATTTATGTAAGAAAAAAATATTTTGACATTGCTTTCAAATTTAACAGCAAAGTAGAGAATGTCAATTCTCATAAGATTTTGACATTTTCTTTAGAACCAGAAAAAAAAAAAAAAAAAAAAACAAAAAGCAAAAACCTTTCTTTGTTATAAACAATTCGTGTAGAATTTTTGACACTTCATCTAAAAATGCTCTAATAAAAACAGCAAGAAATGATTGAATAAAGTTGTGGAAGAAGTTAAATGGGTGAGTAGAGAATTCCCTACATAAAAAATAAAAAATAAAATAAAATCATTTAGAAAAGAAGAACACTTTGGACATTAATTGTTTTGATCAACGTGCTGAGAGGAGTGATAAGACTGAATGATGAGGGAGGTGGGACCGGTCGCCGTCCCATGATATCACTCAAGTAGCGACAAGGATTAAGGAACATGATATAATTACAAACCATATGCCAATTTCCCTAATCAAAATTATCAGATGGTTTAGGTTGACGTTATTAAATTAATAAATGAACTCAAAATATCTCAAATAGTGGTGAAGCCAACAAACACTTTCATTCAGCCGTAACCCAATATTTTAATTTAATTATGTCACCGGCAGAGGAGGGCTGCTACAAGATAATGATGATTATGTTGTTAATTGAGATTAGTTTTAATCGGCCGCGCATGGGTGGCGATTTGATCAACTAAAGTTTTGAATTGGATTAAGGAATAATGCTACGGAAACGAAAATTTTAAACTACTTCAGTTTTAGCAGTACCCTTAGAAGCTGGATTAGGTAATTTGTGTGCGTAACCCGAAAGTGTATCAAAAACTTTTTTATTCCAAAGTTTAGTACTCACCAAATTCTTTTGGAAGATCCTAATTATTTTCACCTAATAGGTTTAAGTTGAAATATCAACATCGAGAGAGAACTGAATTAAGACAAAAAAGCCCTCTTGAAAATTCCAACAAAGAGCTAAAAGAAAAAAAACAATAATGGAAGAACATAAGGAAAGTGTTTCTCAACTAACCATGTATTGAAACGGGCACTGTCTTTTTTTTATCTATTGTTCTTGTAAGGTGACAGAAGCTCTCATCTCTTCATGTGCATCAAGAATCTTCTTCACTTTCCTTCCCCTTTTATTCTCCTCACTATTTTGAATGTGTCTCTAGTTGAGCTTAGATCTCGTCCAATTGGACGAACTGGAATATGGAAACATCATTTAAACTTCGCAATTTTTAGCAATTATGTTCCATTGGGCGTTTCAAAATGTTGACCCTAAAATTACAAAGTCTGTTGCGCAGGCCGAGTAACTTATAAGCTAATTACGTTCTTCCACTGATGATGGCCTTGCCAATTCACTACCGAGCTTGACTGAGTGAGTACTTCTAAATATGATCATGTGATAGAATGCACTTCTGACTTTTGAATGAGGCAATTTTGCTTGAGGAAGGAACACTCTCGGCCTTGGTTCTAAAACCTATTAGAAGGTTATGATTTTGCTGTGAAATTCAAGAATGATTCCACTGTCTAAGTATTGGACATAAATGTAACCTGGTAATAGCTCACTTCACCAAGAAAATTGATAAAATGACCTTGTTCTGTGAAGAATCGCCGGCAGAGACTTAAGTCAATAACTAGTTGAAAAAAGAGAACCTACTATTTAACCAAACTGTCAAAACTCCTTAGCCAAGCTGATTTTACGACTCTAGTGCCGTTCGACCAAACGTCACATTTGCCGGTTGCCTTCGAAAATTCTGTTTAACCAAATTGTAATCATCCATCGACTGCCAACTCAAAATTGTTTAACCAAACTGAAATTGTGCTGGGTTGCTAGTGGAGCAGTTAATATTTTTCTCAGGGTGAGTGTTGAGTTGATGGTCTCTTCTACACTACAAATCCTCTTGTATTTATGGGGACAAAATCTTCGATGGCAAAGTCTAATGAATGATGGAATCCTACAGGGATTGCAATTCCTCGACATTTTATCTTGTTATACTCAGAATTATCTTCCACCACCAATGCATTACTGGGCCGAGACTCACAGCCTCCTTTCTAGACTAACTTCTACCAACTCGGCCGAAATCAGACGACTCCAAACATATTTACCGATAGTGCAAGATCGGGTATAAACAGTATCGCAGAGGGAAAAAATTGTTCTTCTCCATTTCCTTTGACCTCAGAAAAATTCCAAAGAAATCTCGTTTCCTCGACAATGTTTAAAATATCACTAACCTATTGCTTGAAGCCTTTCATACTCGTACAAATGCACGTCGTCGATCATCAATCTCACACGTCGATGAGGCCTCTTTCATTGTACATACTCCTACTCGTTCCAGTCCTCTTTGATACCCCTAGTCTGATCGGAAGAATTGTATTGGAAATCAATGTCCTCCCTACTCCAAACGAAGACAGACGATGAGACTGAGTTGGCTGCCGACGAGATTGTCCGTTGGATCCCGACTCACATACAAGACAACCAGATTTCATTAACTTGAGAAAGTACCTACAAACATGTCATGATTTGGAATGAGAAATTTGGTACCATATAGTTCACTTGGCATATATCCGAATCGTGTGCGAGGGGGGAAAGGGGGAGGAGCGACCTGCAAAACACAATGGAAGGCCTTAGTTTAACCTTTTAGAAAATCCATACCAAAGGGAACTGGGAACCCCTTTCTATAAACTCAAACCAAAAACCAAACAAAGAGAACAACATGATAGAAAATGCTTATGATACGATAGCAGACCTCAGTAAGTCTAAGACCGTTATTTCCCGTTACATCCCGTTACATCGGAAGAAGCTCCCGTTGATTGGCACGGCAGTAATACAGAAAGAAAAGTAGCACTAGATATAGTCATTCATTTCATCGCCAAATCCAGGTTAAATAACAAGGTGATCTAATACAAGAAATACATTCTTAACAAGTGTTCAATTCTCATACAAAATTCGGGTAGGGAACCTAAGAAGCAGAGAATTAACTGAATCTTGTATTACAAGGTTTAACTCAATCAATTCACAAGATTCCAGATAAACTAGCAAAAGAAGGGAAAATGACGATAAGACAAAACACAGCCTGACACCATCGGATACAATCACAGGGGCAACCATATGAGCTGCAGTAGTCATAACAAAAACTGCAACACAACCTACAATACTTGAATTGAAACAAGAAGAGTGTTTGAGAAAGCTAGAGCATCAAGCACACTCAGATTTCAAAAGAATCTACAACAGAACCTGACCATACAAAGGAAGAATAACACACAACCATCGTAATTCAAACAATAAATAAAGATAAGTTGACACAAGCCATCGTAATTCGAACAATAAATAAGACATGCTTCATCATTGTTGATACTCAGAATTCATGCTATAAACTATCAATAAAAGGAGCAAAACTACAATTACTGCGATGTATGCTTCATCAGCGAAATTTTTTCTGTATTACAAGTTTTTAAAGCAGAACCTGGAACAGAACAGCTTGAACTACTGTTTATTATTTTCAGCTGCACTCTCTTCCCTCCCAAGAGCAACGACCACTTTCTTCAAGACAGCTTCAGTTGGTTGGTGGGAGTTCTCCACGGCCTTTGAAATAGGTTGCCATTTTTCACCATGCTTTGGTTCTGCAGCTATGCATCTTTTAAGTACATCTTTCTGGTTCTCCTCGGTCCCATGTTGAAGTTCAAATTTGTAGTATAAAGCCCAGAAATCCCCAATGTCTGGCGCTAGTGTCACTGCCCTGTTAAGCCAAGTCCTAGCTTTGTCAACCTTCCTGTCATGCCAAAATAACTTGGACACAGCAGCAATGACATGGGGATCATGATCGCATTTCTTGAGGGCATCCATACTCTTCGTCTTCCGTTGCGGACGAGGGTACCATCTCAATAGATGCAGCCCACAAGATACCACTATTGGGACACTCCTGCAAAGCCTTTGCCATCAATATATCAGCTTCCTTCTTATTTCCATGCCTTAATTCAGCTCGAACAGCAGCAAGCCACAATTCAGGGTTCTGAGGATTCTTCTTCCTGGCCATTGTTAGAATTGCACGAGCTTTACTCAGCCCACTCATCTTCTCTTCAAGATTAGCAAGAGAAAGCCACAGTGGAATAGAACTGGAGCAGTGCTTCTGACCTGAGTCATAGGCCTCCTTGGCCTTTTCCAAATGACCAAGGCGTTCCTCTAGCTGTCCAAGCATCAACCATAATTTATAGAAGGAAGGGAAGCGCTTCAACCCATCATCAAGCAACTTCCTCTCCTCATTAATGTTCCCTAATTCTCTCTCAACAATTGCTGATTTCATCCACACTCTTTCAGTACCTCCCTTTTCTCGGGCTTTGGCAAGAAGCATTCTGGCTCTCTCTGGTTCATGGTTCTCAAATTCAAGTTTAAACGCAGCAAGCCAAATTTCTTCAGAATTAGGAATGGCAGCATAAGCTTCTTGAAGGATGGCACGAGCAGCAGGGACATCCCCAGCAAGCCACTTTTCCTTAGCTCCCATAAGCCACAAGACTTCAGCCTGTGGTCGGTATGTCACCGCTTTACGAAGTAAAGCATCAAGAGATTCCCTAGTACCATGGCTCTTTTCAAGCTGTGCGGCTTTGAGCCATATGCTCTTCTTGGTTAAAAAGACAGTAAGTGCGTGTGCATAAATAGCTCTGGCTGTTTCAATGGAACCCCTTTTCTTGCATTCCTCAGCATCAGCAACCCATGTTCTCTTCCTATCCTCTTCCTCCACACCAATCCCAATCGTGTTCCGAATGATTGCTTGGCAAGTTGCAACAGACCCTGCACGTTCAGCAGCTTCAGCCTCCTTCATCCATGCCTCTCTATCAATCGCCAACCCTTCTCTTTGCAAAGCCCGTATACCCCTTTCAATAATCTTCCCAACCATGGCTGTGTTCCCATTAGCTTCCTCCAACTTCGCTGCTGTGATCCAAATGGCAGGCTCTTTTGATAGCTTCTCTCTTGCCCTATTAAGGACCTTCCTCGCATTCTCATAAGTTTCCAATCTTGCAAGTGCAAGCCATAACTCAATGTGCAAGGGACAACACTCCACAGCCCTATGAAGCAAAAGTCTCGCATCCTCCTCATTGGCAAGCTCCACCACCGCCTTCCATAACCTAACAGAATCGGGAATGTGTTCCAAACCTTTCCTCAATACCCTGCTCCTATTCAAATCATCACGTTCCAATTTCGCAGCCTGCATCCACAACTTCACCGAATTGGGAATTGACTTCACTCCCTTAGAAATTACGGCCTTAGCTTCATCAGGGCTTGAAAGCCTACACGCCTCTAACCACACATCCTCACTCTTAGGACATTCCTCACACCCTTTCTGAATCAATTGTCTAGCTGCCTGAATCTTCCCAGCCACCTCCTCCAGCCTGGCAGCCGCAATCCATCCAGGTGGGTGCTTCGGATTCGTCTGTGTAACACTCTTAAGCAACAACCTAGCCTTTTTAATATCTGAAATCTCGGCATCACTAGTAATCTTCATACTCTTAAGATCAGTAAGGTACCCTTTCGGGTCCACAACCGTCAATCCAGAAACAGAATCAGAAAGCCTATCCAATTTCAATGACAAAACGGTACCTCTACCCTCACCTACAGCAGTCAAATCCGTAACCGGAGTTTGAGACCATGGAGTCTCCATACCACCAGCTCCCCTACTCTTGGGGTCCAATGCCGTAACATGCTCCTTTTCCTGTCTTGCCTTCTCTAAAAGTGTATCGGGCACCGGCACAAAGCTCTCGAATCTCTTCTTCTTGTTCCTCGACGAATAGTCTCCAATTTCAGGTATGCTCTCCCATTCCTGAGCAGACACAGTGTACAACTTCCTCTTCAGAGTCGCGAATTGCTCCGTGATCTTCGGGTTCGAAGCTCTGTACTTTTCAATCTCTTCTTTCAACCGAGCTTCTCTCCTGTCCTTCCTCCTCGAGTCCATTCTTTGCTCAATGGCTTCCCAAACCGCATCAGCCTCCTTGTCCTCATCATCGTATTCCGCCGATGCAAACAACCCGACATCATTTCCTTCGAATTCATCAAACTTCTGATTCTCATCGTACCCCTTATCCTCCCCTTCATCCTCCTCCTCTTCCTCTGGCTTCCCGCGACCGCGGCCAACCCCAGGTGGGGCAGCAGGAGCAGCAGCGCCGCCGATTGTCGTGGCCGACCTATCCGGCAGGTCGGGCGCAGCACGTGCGGGCCCGATATCGGACCTGGTGGTGAAGCCAGTGGCACCACGGCCGAGCCCGGCGACATAATTCGGGGGAGGCTTGGAGTTGAGGAACTCGAGTCGGGGTTTAGGGACGGCGGGAGGTTGAGTGCCGCCGAATAAGGGAATGTGAAGAGTTAGGGTTGAAAGGGATCGGATTCCAAGGTCGGAGAGGAGGGCGGAGTCGGATTGGGTGATTAACTGGAGGCTTTGGGAGATGAATAGGCGCTGCTGAGAAATGGGTATGTGAGAATTTTGCTCGATTTGGAGCTTTAGGGTTTGGAGGGTGGTGATCTTAGGGTTTAGATTTAGGGCTAGGGTTTTGTGATTTGGTGATGTGACGAACACCATGGCGAGATCGATGTGTGATCCTATCTGTGAGTGCAAGAGACGTTACAATTTGCGAGAAGCTGGAAAAATATGAATATGGGTCAAATTTGATGCCGAGTCCGTCAAATATGGGCGGTCAAGCGGGTTCAGGTCTGATGGGCCGAGATTTTGAGAAGGGTTGGTTTAGTTCAATAAATAATTTTATATTTCGGTAAATAATCATATTTATTTTTTAACACCTGCCTTCTTTTCAACTAAGGTTAATAAAGTTAACAAAAAAAGAAAAAAAAAAAAAGAGAAAGAAAGGTTAATAAAGAATTTAAAGAGTAAAGTTATTTATACTATATTTTTATATTATATTTTTATACCATTTTAGGTGGCATCTGATGTGGACGGTCATATCATTTGAAAATTTGCAAAACCCAAGGAAATGAAGGAGAAAGACTTCTCGTATACAATAATCATCATTTAATTAACTAATTTTTCTTAATTATTAGTTTATTAAATAATGAATTAAATTTAAAAATCTAATTAATTCAAATGATATGACTGTTCACATCAAATGTCATCTCAAATAGTATGAAAATATAGTACAAAATATGGTATGAATAACATTGCTCGAATTAAATATTAACATATGGCCAATCTGGAGATCAGATTGTTTCCCTCTTTTCGTTCGGATTTGGCGGCCTTGAAGGATTTTCTGACTTTTTCTTTTGCTAATATGCTTACAATCTCTAGCCTTGGTCTAGATTGGTCGACCATTGACGTAGAAAATATATGTGTGCTTTTTGTTTAGGCTTTGATTCTAATCAAACGATTGTAATGCGAGTGCGTGAATCAAGAGAATAAAAATACCATGCGTAAATTAAAATTATGTAATGTAAAGAAAAAATGAAATACAAGAGTGGGAAGGTAAATGCGTAAAAAAATGTAGATAGGATTACATTATGCTAGGATAAGAACCAAACATAATATAGAGAGACAATTTGCGTACTTGATCGGGGTCCTTTCTTTCCCAAAACTTGTATTTGTAGAGTTCTGATACGTTCTAACATGGTTGGTCATCAGTTGGCTCGTGATTACGCCAATCAATGAAAATCTCTCTCAATTAGTGATAGTAGATTATATGGTGGCAAATGATTTATCAATATTCTCGACTTTGTATTTGGTTTTATAAAATTTCAATTGCAATAAGTTTTAAATTAAATTTAACTTGTTGGATAAGAAAATGAAATATTTACCCAAAAGAGGTGCATGCCACTAAGCCACTTAATAATTAGTGCAAACTACGAATATTACCTTGTATTTTCATTTTATTGGGTATGAATGTTGTCTTGTCTGTTATGGTGGTGATTGTCTTCTAGATGTGTCACAAAGAAAGAAATTTTTTGGAAGATCCAACCTATGGAGAGACCACTATACGAAGGAATTGTCTTTGCACCTTCACTTTTGACTCATTCTCCATTTGATTCCTCTCCCACAAACTTTTCTCCTCCAATTAGTCCTTTGACAAACTTACCATTTTCTTTGGGCGCAACTTTTTTCTTCTTCTTTTGTCAACACAACCTTGCATGCAAGCACATGACTATTCTCTCCCAAAATAAGGGAAATATTATACCAAAATATTAAATAATTTCAAACAAATTAACTACTGTATTAAACACTTGAGGTAAAGTATAAGATAAAGGCGATGCTGTCTATACATTTTTCTTAATTTTCACTCAAATGAATTGAAAAAAGAACAATGACATAAATTAACAGGGTGCAAGGGATGCAAAAATAGATGTATGGATAACACCACTTTAAAACAAATGAGACTTGTACGAAACCTTAGAACAATAAGACGAGTTCTTAATATATAATTTCGTCACCACGTTACGTTCTGATCTAATAATTTATTGTTAGGTGATTGTAAATTTGTTTTATACGACTTGCTCTTATGAGAACCAACGACCATATTAGTGAGATCGCTCTTCTAGATTGGATTCATTGTTTGGATTAATTTCATTATATGTTAAATGGTAATTTTGCATACTCATTACATGTTGTATATTTGAGAATGAATGAAACAACGAGAAATCCTTTTCCACATTGTATTACAATGAGAGCACAAAAATATATAATATTTTACAGACAATCTGCACAGCTGTCACCTGGAAAGCGCCATTGGAGCGGCTGAGCCTGATTAAGTGAGAGGTCGAGGTCCTGTGACGGCGAATCGGTCGCACATGTAAAATTGCCGCAAGTGGGTTTTCTTGCTTGCATTGCAAAAAGAAAGGTCCCACCTTTGCCCGCGTCTCAAATTTTTATTTTTCTATTTATCTGCCCTTTTTTTATTATAAATTAATTAATTTATTTTTTCTTCAGATCTAAAACTCCAGCAAATCCCATGGTTCTCCTCCTCTAGCCTCCAAGTATTGGGCAGTCAAACAAAAACCAAACCAAAACCTCCCAAAAAACAACATTTGACTTCTGCTCTGTTCGTTCAGTTTTATGATCAGAAGCAGAGAGATTCAGAAAGATAATCGAGATGGGGTTGGTGGTTGTTCCAGAAATTGGAAATGGAGAAATGGGTATGTCTGGGATTCCATTGGGAACCAAGAACAAGTACAAGAGGATGGATTCTGAGCCCGAGGTCGAGCTCACAGAGGAATACGAGGATGGTGCTTCTCGCCACCACCTTCAACAAATCAGGAGCAAAAAAACCAGGAAATATGTCCTCGCCTGCGCCATTTTTGCCTCTCTCAACTCTGTTCTTCTTGGCTATGGTAACTACATGCTTTACCTTCTATGTATGGATGTGTATCTATAGATGTATCTATAGAAATGTGTGTATTTTGTATGTAATTATGTATTTGTGTATGTACATCTGTTCGTGCGTACGATATGTCTGCTCTGCGTGTTTGTTTTTTGTTTTCGAGCGATATTCTAATTACTTAATCTAAACTACGAGGAGGGGAATTCGAACTTGTGTGTAGAGGGGTGAGCTCTGTTTGTTATTGTTATACGAAGTTGCTGCTGTCGGTAGACGTTATTAATTGGCATGTGTGTTCTGTTATGATCTGCTTTGTTTGGTTTACTGTTGTACTTAATTGCTTTAAGAATCTTCTGTTCCATGTTATGAATAGTTCCGAACCTTGCTGGTAGAGCTATGTGATTTATTTGATTGTCTAAATTTAGATGTAAAAGAAAACGTGAACTTGGGAACGATTCGATCTTTTTCTGGGGTTTCATCTTTCTTTAGTGCTGCTCAACTGTAGTTTGTCCAAATTTTGTCCTCAAATTAATTTTTCGGGTCTAATAAGTTTCCATTCACCACAAGGCACCCGTCTTCCTAACTTCATCAATCTTGTCCCTCCGAAGCCTTGCTCTATCAAAACAATTGCTAGAAGAGTCACCCGCATATTTTGATCCTGACGATTGGAGATCACTAAACCCTTACATGATTAAAACTTGTTAGAACAATTTTCACCTCTTATTGGCAATTTTCTGTACTTCTCCTCATTATTTATGAGGAAACATATGAATTACAATCTACAAATGGCAAACTTGTTCATGATATCTGTTTACTTCCATGAAAATTTGCTTTGGTACTTATTAAGCACAAAAATGAATAAACACTTTCCACTTATTGTTCTTGGAAATGAATTTCTGAGTGACTGTAGAAGAATAAAAGGTATACTTATGCAAGAAGGATCTCTGGCTGTATAAACTGATACTGTTTGCAGCTAACTCCTTGCAACACATTAGTAAACGAAAATGATGATGTTCGTACCAGTTCTCAAAGTACTCTAATTTTTAAATTGTTTGAATTAGGTGATTCGGGAGAAATGTGTTTGATTGTTTTTTTGTTTGAATTGACAGATGTAGGTGTCATGAGTGGAGCTATCATATTCATTCAGGAAGATTTAAAGATTACCGAGGTACAAGAAGAAGTTCTTGTTGGGATTTTGAGCATTGTTTCGCTTTTCGGTAGTTTAGCCGGTGGCAAAACATCAGATATCATTGGTAGGAAGTGGACCATGGCCTTGGCTGCTGTTGTCTTTCAAGCAGGTGCAGCTACAATGACCCTTGCTCCTTCATTTGAAATATTGATGATTGGAAGACTCTTTGCGGGCGTTGGAATTGGCTTCGGTGTCATGATTGCTCCTGTTTATATCGCTGAGATATCACCCACCATTGACAGAGGCTCACTCACCTCATTCCCAGAAATATTTATAAATCTGGGAATTTTACTTGGCTACGTCTCAAACTATGCATTTTCTGGGCTTCCGGCACATATAAACTGGAGGATAATGCTTGCAGTAGGAATTACGCCTTCAATTTTCATTGGTTTTGCACTTTTCGTAATCCCCGAGTCTCCAAGGTGGTTGGTCCTTCAGAACCGTATTGATGAGGCAAGATCAGTGTTGATGAAAACAAATGAGAATGAAAGTGAGGTGGAGGACAGACTGAATGAAATACTAGCAGCCGCTGACAATTCTAGTGCGGGGAAGTATGAGGAGAAAAGTGTGACGAGTGAACTAATGAATCCATCTCCTTCACTTCGTCGGATGCTTATCACAGGTTTTGGAATTCAATGTTTTCAACAGATAACAGGAATAGATGCAACTGTGTACTACAGCCCCGAAATCTTCCAAGAAGCAGGAATAAAAAATAAACAAAATGTTCTTGCTGCAACTGTTGCGGTGGGTGTCACAAAGACTGTTTTTATAATGGTCGCTATTCTTCTTATAGACAAGCTTGGAAGAAAGCCCTTGCTCTATGTCAGCACGATTGGAATGACGATTTGTTTATTCAGTTTAGGATTTACTCTCTCTGTTCTTGGGAAAGGACAGTTTGGCGTTGCAATGGCAATTTTATCTGTTTGCGGAAATGTAGCCTTCTTCTCTGTTGGAATTGGACCTGTTTGCTGGGTTTTGACATCCGAAATCTTCCCTCTAAGGGTGCGTGCGCAAGCAGCAGCGCTCGGAGCAGTGGGTAATAGGGTGTGCAGTGGTCTAGTTGCCATGTCTTTTCTCTCAGTTTCCAATGCAATTTCATTTGGTGGAACATTCTTTATCTTTTCTGCAGTCGCTGCTCTTTCTGTCGTATTTGTCTACACCTGTGTTCCAGAAACCAAAGGAAAGTCATTGGAGCAGATTGAGTTGCTTTTTCAAACTGAACATGATCAGAAAGGAGGTCAAGTGGAACTAGGAGATGTCGAGCACCTTGTTCAGAAAGGATGATTGATCGGGAAAGCTCATTCGATGAACAGATATATCTTCCACATCTTACCATCCTTGAACTGGTTTGAAAAAGGATACAGATTAATCATTCGTAACTCATCGCAGCGTTCACATAACTGATGGAACTACTGTGAGTCTGAATTTGCAGGATGCGGATTTCGAAAGAGAACCTTGCGCTTGTATAGATGGTTCTCTGCAACCGAATAAAATAGCTACCAGAGGGAGCACATTACATGTTTTGAGTTGAATTCTTTGTTCAGTTTACAGGTTTGACAATGGAATACTTGTATTATGGTTTACAACTATTAGATTTTTCGGAATCAAATTCGTTCATGGTATTCTTGCTGTTCTTGTCTTTGTATGCAATTTCACATCAATGAAAAATATTAACATTTGAAAGGTAAGCAGAAACATTGTTATATATATTTTTAGTGCTTCTGAATTATGAACATCCTTTAGATGCTTGTAGGGGTGGGCATAAGAATTGAGAAATTGTGAAACCGAACCAAATTAGATGAAAAAAACCATAAAATGCCAAGTTCACCAAAACCAAACCAAACCAGTTTAAAATGGTTTCAATTCCAGTTTCTAATTCTCAGGAACCGAAGAAACCGCATCGAACCATCTCCATTAATTTTTTTAAATCTAATTCTTTAGCCCTTGTTTTATATCAATACCAAGCCCAAACAAAAAATTTTCAAGCCCAAAAGCCGAACGCTTGGTAATTACGTCAAATCATTTCCACCATAGCCGTCGTTTCACATTCCAATTTTCATCCCTTTCTCCTCTTTTATTTTCCTCATTTATCTATATGCATTATGAACACTTCAATTTCATTTTAGGATGGCACTTTGATTTTGATTTGAGGCTTTTTATCTTTTGATTTATATTTATATATAAACTTTCCATCTTCGGGTCACAATTCTAGTAGATCTAGTAGTGGGAACTCAAATTTGCTTGAATTTGTGGTTGAAATGTGTGTTTGGTTAGAATTGTAAACCGGTATAAACTGAATCGTACGATTTTAGTAATAAATTTAAGCAGACCCAAACCTTTGATATTTTTCGATTTCAATTTGAGGATGAAACCGGACTGTGCTCACCTCTAATGCTTGTTGGGCCTCGAATTTATACCACCCAGCGGCTTCTACTTTACGACTGGTGCCTCCCATTGTACCACCCACTGCGGTCGCCATTGCTACCTCTTGCTCTTTTCATGTGACCCAGTGGTACAATCCAATGTGCCCAATTGTTTCTGGTTCCCTCAAATTTTTACTTTTTAATTTATAAAGAAATAAAGTTTTGTTCTTCCCTCATCACAATTGCCAAATTTTTATTTCCGGAATAAATGAAGAAAACTTTTCCCATGCCACTTCGTGTAGTCATCATTTTATGTGACTGTTACTTCAAATTTTTATCTGGGAGAAGGGAGAGAAGAACAGATAGGGGCAGGTTGCAAGTTAAAAAAAATAAGATAATTTTAACGAAAAACTCTCGGTACTGTTTATTTTAACGAAAAATCACGTTTTTACCCTAAAATATCAATCCTAAAGGGATAAGTAGTCATAGCTAACAGCTTTTACAGCTGTCATTTATAGATGTAACAGTTTTGTAACTAATCTCTGTATTAGAGACCTAATTATGTATAATTAGGTACTAAGCTTTGGTAGAGAACTATATATATATATTGAGTTGTAATTCTTACACATTAAGTAATGAAATACAAAGAGTCACTTTCTTATATGGTATCACCGCCTCTCTGCCTAACCGCCTCTCGATCCTCTTTCTCTTGCGATTTTTTTTCGATCGATTTGTTCTTCGATCGTTGCTTTCTTGCTCTTTGATTCGTTCTTTGATCTTCGATCATGGCGTCTTCGACCTCTTCTCCTGTGCAACCTGAAGTTGTTGCTACTCCTCTTCCTGCAGCCTCTTTCCCCAATTCTCCCGTGATGAACCCTAATTCTTCATCTTCTTCAATTTCTTCTATAACTGTTCAGAATATCAGCTGTATGGTTCCTACAAAGCTCAAGCGTGACAATTACCTTGTCTGGAAAGCTCTATTCGCTCCAATTTTTCGTCGTTACAAACTCACTGGTATTATCGATGGCTCGGAGATTTGCCCGCCGCCGTTTACTGTTGATGAATCTGGCTGCAGCACTGGCGTTCCAAATCCTGCATTCGAAACGTGGTATGAGAAAGATCAGAATATCCTGATCTGGTTGAATTCTACTCTCTCTGAGGATATTGTTCCGTTCACTGTTGGTGTCACCTCATCTCGCGATCTCTGGTTAAATCTTGAGCATCAATTTGGTGGTGTGTCTGCAGCTCACATTCATCAGCTCCGCTCTCGCCTTCACTCCGTTCACAAAGGCGATCTTTCTATCTCCGATTATCTGCAGCGCATCAAAGGTCTTGCTGACTCCTTAATGGCTGCTGGAGCTCCGGTTTCTGATCATGATTTAATTGCTGTCACTCTCAATGGTTTACCTGATGAGTATGAGTCGTTCATTGACTCTCTCATGCTCAGGATTTCTACCACGACTCTGGATGAACTTCATGGCTTGTTGCTTAACAAGGAAGTTTTCATGAATCGCAAGAAGAAAAATATGGCTCCCTCTGCTTCTGAGCCGTTTCAGGCGTTTGCTGCGCAATCTCAACCTCCTCTCCTTCTTACACCATCACAGTTCTATCCTTTTCCCCAAGCTTTTGCTGCTCACCAGTCATCTATGCCATCCAGGTTTCACCACAATAATCGTGGTAATCGTGGAAATTTCTCTCAGCGTAATCATCGCGGTAATTTCTCTAAGCCTTTCAATAATCGTGCTCCATTCAACAATTCTGGTGGACATCGTGGTCAATACCGATCCAATTCTGGCAGTCGTTCTGATTTTGGTGGTAATAACTCTGGAAATCGTCCCAATTCTGGTGGTCGCATTTCTTGCCAGATCTGTCATGCGTTTGATCATGATGCTCTTGATTGCTATGACCGAATGAATCATTCTTTTGCTGGCAAAATCCCTCATGCCAAGCTCGCTGCAATGTGTGCTCATACTTCTTCTAAGCAATCTGCTCCTACTTGGTTGATGGACTCGGGTGCTACGTCTCATATTGTTAATGACATTTCTGCAATTAGGTCTCCACATCCATATTCTGGCGAAGACAAGGTGTATGTTGGTGATGGTCAAGGTATGGCTATCCATCATACTGGTAACTCTATTGTCACAACTCCACATGCCTCTTTCCGTTTGAATAATATTCTTCATGTTCCCATGATGAAATTCAACTTACTCTCTGCTTATCAATTCTTAAAAGATAACTACTGTTCTTTGACCCTTGATTCTGATGGTTCTGAAATCAAGGATCGCTCTTCGGGGAGGACGATTTTTAAAGGGCCAGTTACAGACGGCTTCTATCCACTTCAAGGTCTCTCTCCAGCTTCCTCTTCACATACTGCTCTGCTTAGCACTAAAGCTTCGTTGAAGACATGGCATCACAGACTTGGTCATCCTTCCTCTGCTATGTTTCGGAAAGTTTTAAATAAGCAGTGTCTTCCCTCCATTGGTGACAAGTCTGTATCTTTCTTTTGCACAGATTGTGCTATAGGTAAAAATCATAAGCTGTCTTTTTCTCCTAGCACTAGTTCTACTTCAACTAGTTTAGAGTTACTCCATTGTGATGTTTGGGGTCCGTCTCCAGTCCCTTCTGTAACTGGTTACCGCTTCTACTTGTTGATTGTGGATGATTTTACTAAATACACATGGCTGTTTCCTATGAAAGCTAAATCTGAGGTCTATTCTCTCTTTGTCATCTTTAAGGCCTATGTTGAGAACTTGATTGGGAATAAAATCAAAATCTTGAGATCTGATTCAGGGGGTGAGTTCACCAGTTCTGTGTTCAATTCATTTCTATCCAGCAATGGCATCTCTCATCAATTTAGCTGTCCTCACACTCCTGAACAAAATGGATGTGTTGAACGGAAGCATCGCCACCTTACTGAGACTGCAAGAACTCTGTTGGTTTCTTCTCGGGTTCCACACCAGTTTTGGGTTGACGCTTTTTCCACTGCTTTGTATCTTATTAATCGGCTGCCTATTTCTCGGTTGGATACATCTCCTTGGGAACTTCTCTTTCGCAAATCTCCAGATTACTCCAAGTTAAAGATTTTTGGCTGCAGCTGCTATCCTTGGCTTAAACCCTATGCTTCCTCGAAACTGGAAGGCAAGAGCACGCATTGTGTCTTTCTGGGTTACAGCCTTCAGCATAAAGGTTATCGCTGTTTAGCTCTCCACTCTCAGCGACTTTATATTTCTCGGCATGTCCTGTTTAATGAAGACCATTTTCCATTTCATGATGCCAGGCAGATTTCTCCCTCAACCCTGCCATCCTCCCCTGCCTCTGATCCATCTCTATCTTTCATCCTTCCTTTTCCTACTATTCCTCATACTTCTGTCTCTCCTTCTACTCTTCAGCACCCTTCGGTCTCTTCTACACTCTCTTCATCTCAGCCAGTTGCTGCTGCACCCTCACATCTGTCCTCCTCTTCTTCTCCAATTCATACGTCTTTCTCTCTGCCATCTCATTCTTCTTCTCCCCTTCAACCTTCTATTCCCCCTAACTCTCATCCTATGATCACACGGTCTAAAGCAGGGATTTTCAAACCCAAAGCTCTTTCTGCTACTAAACATCCACTCAACATTGATTCTTTTGTGCCTACCACTTATCACCAGGCCTCTAAACATACTCATTGGGTTCAAGCCATGTCCGATGAAGTTGCTGCTCTCCGAAATACAGGCACCTGGACCTTAGTTCCTTCCTCTCCTAACCAAAATATTGTTGGCTGCAAATGGGTGTTCCGCATTAAACGGAAACCTGATGGCACGATTGATCTGTACAAGGCTCGCCTGGTAGCCAAGGGATTTCACCAGAAAGCAGGTCTGGATTTTACAGAAACCTTCAGTCCTGTTGCCAAACCAGTCACCATTCGCATTTTATTAACTCTTG